CAGGTCCTGATGGAGGATCAACGCCTTGTTGCCGTCGTTCGTGATCTTCATGTATCGGATCTTCCCTGGACCATTAGCTATCGTAGGGACCCAATGATCTCCATGGGTGACCCAGTATTTCTCATGATCTGAGACTCTCAGGCGTAAGAGAAGCCCCACTAATTCTCCTGGCTGGAACCCCAAGTATTGCCCATGGTTCCCGATCCTGGCCTTGTCGCGGTGAAGCTGTAGTCTTCCATTAATCTGGATCCGGACTTCGTAGGGCAAGCTGATGATCCGTGAACGAGATCCAGGAGGATCCCGGCCGGAACCATGAAGTCCATGCCGAGGATAGATTCTTGGCCAGAGAGATCTCCTACCCAGATATCGAAGAAAAAACAACGACCCTGCGAGAGTTACCTTGGCTCGCGTCCTTCCTTCTATTCCATACACGTTGTCGCCAATCCCCACACATTCTTGGATCTGACTCGAGTCGATGTAGCACCCAACCTTACGTGCAACGGCGGTATCCACGATGGACACCTCGGCACCAGTATCTATGAGTAAGATTGCCTTCTCATTGTGGATCTTGTCGACGATCTTAGCTTGACAGAACTACTTACCAGGATCATGGTGTTTCCAGTATCCGTGGGATTCTCCCAGTAGGAGATCCAATGTCGATTCGGATCCGGATCGTCGAAACTCCGTGACCCGACTAGGGTTCGTGATCCCGGTTGTGGTCTCCTGATCCGCAGGTTTGAACGAAAGATCCAGATCCTGCTGCTTCCAATAAATAACCTCTGTATTCTCCTGGAAGAAGATCCACAGTCGTGGTCACACCGGATCTAGCATATTCATCAGCTTGGCGAAGACTGAATATCGCGGAGGTACGATTCCCATGCAGATCACGTGTATTATCGGGTAGATCTAGCTGCTTGCTAACTTGATCTACCGATGTCTTATGCGCAAATGCATAGATGCAAAATCTAGAATGCTCGGCTCGTACCGGATTCAACCCCAACGAGCGTCCTAGTTTAACATCTTTTCGGCAGATTCCGGCCGACGGCGATCAAGTGTCTGAATGGCGGATCAAGTGGAGGTGAAAAAAGTCTTTGACCACTCGCCTTCGGGTAATCCGCCGTCGGACAATCCGCCGCAGCATTGTCAACCGCTGGATATGGCGTCTGTCGCAAGTGATCAGTCGGATCTGTCGTCTATCGCAGATGACAACTCTGTGTCACATGATGTAACGGTCGTGATGGCGCTGGACGTTTGGGATCCTATCGTATCAGGTATTAAAACGGTGGATCTGGCTATCCTACCTTGGAAACTGTATTGGCAGATGAAGATCTAGGTGGTGTATCTGGTGCCGATCAAGATCCGCCAGTCCAAGATATCTAAGATCCGAAGGTGGCGACGTTGAAGGGTGATGGGTCACACCCATCACCATCGATTGGTGTAGAATGTGTGATGAGCCATAAGTTGGATGAGAAAGACGCCACTTCTCTGCCGCAGAAAAAGGACGGGGATCCGGAGGCTGTTCCTAAAGATCAACCTAACCCATCGGATCTGAATCTCAATTGGGACTCGAATCAGGATTACGACGAATGCGTGTATTACCACAATGGCAGTGATCTCTACACCAAAGGTGTCGACGGACAACTAGCAGTACTGCCTGAAGTAACCGTAACGACGGAAGATATGCGGGTCAAGTATATATAATTGTGAAAATCCGACAATCAGGCGCCGCAAGAAATCCACTGACTCCGCCAGTAGATTTGGAAGTTCCGACATCTCTTGATCGCCAAAGGAAATGCACTCCCACCAGCGACCCGAGGGGTTATATGTGATCTTGATATGGGAGGAGCTCGGCCGATCGCGCTTAAATGCCGTAAGCTGCGGATCTAGTTCCGAGGGAAATTGGCAGAGTTGATCAAGGGTCTCCTGTCAGCTAAGATGATCAACCACTCAAGATCTCCATGGGCATCGCCGATCGTCGTGATCATCAAGAAGAATGGTGTGGATATACGATTGTGTATTGATTATTAACCGTCTGACCCAGCTGATGGTTTACCCGATGCCGCTGATCAACGATCTTCTGGAGGATCTCGAGTCTACATTGTGGTACAGATTACGACACATTGATGTGACGCGCAAGATTTTCTTGTGTATAGTACGCTCCTATGACACAATGATATGACACATTTCAATACTTGACCAATTAGCGCAGGCTAGACTGAAGTACTCCAGTTAAGTTAGTTTACTTGGGGCTGTGTTAGCGGTTAAAGTGCAGCTTTCTCGCACGCTCGCACGATACATTTTTCACTGACAGCGTCCCAGGCGTCAGCAACGCGCTTGACAACGATGTGGCGCTTCTCGTAGGCAGACGACGCATGAGGGCGAGCAAGCGCTCTCGCAGAGGTAGACTAGAGTCACAAAAACCTTCAATCTCTGACCCCAGCGGTGGACAAGACGCTGAAGCAGACGTAGAGGCTTTCTTCTTTGGTACGAGCTAGGTATTCAGCAACCCAGTTAGAAAATTCCTCCTTATCAAATATAATAAGATGGCACGTTTAGAGCGGAAAATCATATCGACGCATTTGTTTAATCCTCTGCACGACAGCATCTTCGTTAGGAAACGAGCACTGTAGCCCTTGTCCTCCGCGGCAAATCTTGGACTGCATTTTATTGTTACAGGCATCACGCAGCTCAGCCTCGGGTTTTTTTCATCCGTAGTAACAGGTACGGGTAATATTGCTATCAGAAGCCACGTCTGTCACAGTCCTGCCTGCTTGGACAGCATTAAGCCGACCAGTAACAGGTACGGGTAATATTGCTATCAGAAGCCACGTCTGTCACAGGCCTGCCTGCTTGGACAGCATCAAGCCGACCCACCTACAGATTACCGTTAGTTTAGATTAGATTTGAATACGCCGAAATCATTACTATCAGAGTACCTTAAACTCGATTGTGTGAGCAGCTCGCCGTCTCGATGTATCGCTGTTGCTGGATGACGTGGGGAGTGGCTTTGGCTGAGGTGGCTGAGATGACTGAGGTGGCTGTTCGACACTGGCATCGTCCTCTGAGCGAGTGCAGTCGTCTTGAAGCCCCCACTGGCGAAGTCTGTTGATGGCCTCCTCTTCTTCCATGGCGTGCTGCGTGCAGCGCGCTCTATTCAGCAATAATGACTGGTTTCGATAGAGCAAAAGTTAAGGAATGTGGTTGGTTGAAAATTTGTATGCAATTTCCAGGCGAAATACCTCGTGTCATATCAATGTGTCGTAATCTGTATTGCTCACTTGATATGGCGAGTGGCTTTTGGGAGGTGAAAAGGACGGATCGGGCCCACCTGATCTCGGCCTTTATCACCCCATTTGGACTTTTCGAGTGGAATCGGATGCCTTTGGGGCTGAAGAATGCGCCGCAGATCTACCACCGGATGATCGACAACGCCTTGGATGGGTTCACTCGGATCCCGAAAACAGCAGATGATCCGGAGGTCTGGAAATATTTCAAAGTCGGAGAACAGGAAAATCCGGGCAAACCATCGGTGTTAGGACGCAGATCCTACATCGACGACATCTTTGTACCACCGGATAATTGGGGTTGGCTATGTGACCGAGTCGAAGATCTTCTGGAGGCGTGCAACAAATGGAACTTGTCGATCAGCGTTGTCATAAGTTTCTGGGGCATGTCCAAGGTGGAATATCTCGGTCACAAGGTATCACACGATGGACTGGAGGCGAATCCGAAGGATCTTTCGGCGTTGACGGATCTAGAGTTTTCCAGGTCTCTGCGTGCCATGCAATCCTTTTTGAGCAGGCTGAACTATTGTAGTCGCTTCATCGAGGATTTTGAGATCTACACGTCTGTGCTATATGAGTTGAGGGAGCTCGACTATGCTGCGATGGAGAAGGGCATGAATCGAAACCGGATCCAGCTAGCACTAGCGGTGGAATCCCCTGATCCGGACATGCTGACTGAGGATCCGACAAGTCCGCAACCTTCGGATCCGGATCCGCGGGGTCTGGATCCCGAACTTAGCGAGCAAGTTCCGAGCCTAGTGTGACAGGATCCGATGCCTGCCTGTGTGAAGGTGTCAAACCCCGAGAAGGCCACTTTTGCAGATCTAGATCCCCGGTGGATCCATGCTCACAGATCCTTCAAGGTGCTAAAGGAGAAGGTCGCATAGACGCCGATCCTACGTCACTTCGATCCGGATCGGCAAGCTGGGGTGTTTATATATACCAGTGATTGGGCGACCTCCGGTGAATTGATGCAAGAGTATGATCAAATCGATTATTCAGTGATGTTCGCGAGACGTACGTTGAAGTCCAACGAATTAAATTACGGGATCGCGGAGAAAGAGGTGTTGGCATTGTTGCGGATCCTGGATCTCAACTATAACATTTTAGTTGGAAGGCCGATCCGAGTGCTGACGCGAAATTCCACACTGGCTTGGTTGTTTAGAAAAAATGAATTACAAGGCCGATTGGGACAGCGGGACGCGTTGCTTTCACCCTGGATGCTCGAGATCGTCAAGAGAAACAAGGGCGAAGACGAGATACTGGGCACATTAGCAGCCAGTATCACTCCCAGATCCGAAGTCGACAAAGCGCTGATCTCAATCGCCCCAAAGAAGGAGCTGAGAAATAAGATCCAAGCCCTGATCCCTACGGTGAGATTGGACGAGGATCTTTATGTCGCCAGCCTCGACGGATCTGCCCGTGTCGTGCGAGATGGAGGCGCTTACAGCGCGATCCTGTGGAAATTACTTGAGTGGACTGTGGCGGAGGGCAGATCCGACTGTCCATGAAGCCGAACATCACGGCCTCCTGTTATGTCTCGATTTGCTTGAAGATACAGATCCGTTAAGACTGGTGACCGGTGGTGACTCCAACTTGGAGATCCGCCCATTTTGAGGTGAGATCGACTGCAAGGTGCCTGGATTGACATTGTTAAGACAAAAACCGTTGGACAGATTGCGGATCTGGCCGGATCATGAGTTGGTACATGTGGAGCGGGATTGGAACGGAAGTACAGATAGCCTGGCTACTGCTGCATTGCAACGACAATTTGGAGACGACGATGACACCGATAGCGAGGTCCAGGATCTGTTCGCATTGAACCGACAAGATATTGGTGGTGACATCCGAGGATCTGCCAGTGGAGATCTCAGCCGTTACAACTAGATTGAAGGATAGATCTGGCGTGAGGTCGGGATCCAACCCCCTGGTACTGTGCGAGGAAGTGATCAAAGAGCTCAGGATCGAGCAGATCCGACAGGAACAGGATGGGGAGGTGTCTGAAGAAGTATCTGACGGGTGAAGTACGCGATCTGACACAGGAAGAAGCCAGATCTTGCGGATCCATCGCCATGAATTATGAACTAGATCAGCATGATTTCCTGTTCTACTGTCCCACTACGAAGGAATCGGCTGCGGTTCGGGACAAACTGATACGACAGGTGCTACCTGAAACGTTGTATCGAGATGTTCTACACCATTGCCATACGAGGCTCCAAGGTGGACATCAGGGGATCGGCCTTACTTACGATTGGATCCGGGATCATTTTTACTGGAGAGGATTGTACAGTAGCGTGCAAAGATATGTCGGGGAGTGTGTGGATTGGGAGACAGGAAAAGGGCGACCTCGGATCCAGAGCGAATCGTCGGGTAATCTTCATGCGAGTTATCCATTTCAGATCATCGCTATGGATCGCATCCCCTCATTGTCAAGATCCTATAAACATAACACTGAGTTGTTGATTTTCGAAAACCTCTTCCCCGGATATGTGATCGCCAAAGCGAGTGGATCCAGGACGGCTCAGATTGCGGCAGAAACCTACGAGGAATGAGTGTTCCGCCGATTTGGTGCCAGCGAAGTGATCCGCCATCATCGTGAACCCAGATTTATGTCCAATCTCTTTCGCGCGTTTAACAAGATCCTGGATCAGCGTCAACGTGCAACAATGGCGTACATACCCCAGGCGAACGGATCCGCGGAAAGGATGGTGCAGACAACCACAAGAGCACTTAAGATGTATGTCCAAGATCTGGCTCAGCGAGATTGGGACGTGCATACGAAGCGACTTACATTCGCGATCAACCCCGCTCTAGATCGGAGAGACGACGTTTTACATGGCCTACGGCTGGGATCCGAGATCTACATTGGAGGCGGTGATCCCGATGGGAAGTACAAGAAGACAGAATCGGGATCCGTGGAGATGGCGATATCAGATCCATAGACATTACCAATAGGCACGGAAGCAAGTAAATCAGCTCTTGTGGGAGGCGATCTTGGATCGGGTGGATCAGCACAACGATATAGTGCGCCCGCATCGAGTCGAGGCCGGATCCCGAGTCTGGTTATACCTGGATCGGATGCGAGAGGGATATACCAAAACGCTTGCGCATCTGTGGCATGACCTTTCGTGTGGCCGAGAAGATCGGCGAGTATGCGGTGAAACTCGAGATCCCGGATCCGCATACAATATCTTCCCCGTGGCCCACCTGTCAAAGCTCAAGCCGTCAGAGAATTTCTGGATCGGCCGGTAATACGTCTTACGACGCAGGATCAGGATCGGCTGGATTTCGACGAAGCACTTCCCCCTGGAAATAGCTGGATTCAAGATCGCGATCCGGACGAGTATGAGGTTGAAAAGATTTCGGGTATGAGTACTGGCAGGAGAACTAGATATGGTCGGATCCTGCGCGAATTCTGGGTACACTGGCGTGGGTACGAAGATCCGACCTAGATCGACGTATTAGATCTCAACTGTGGAGCAATACACCACGAGTTCTGGCGGGATCGCGCCAATCAGAACCGGTTTGGTGTGATGCAATCTCACGAAGAGGCCTAGGGGTAAGATCCGCATAGGTGAGTTGGTGATCAATGCGGGGAGGTTGGGATGAAGGATCTGCTCGGAGGCCGCGGATCGGAGGAAGGCAGGTACATATATGAATATATTACAATGTGCCAAAATCTACAAAGGTCAAAATCCAAGAAGATGTAGAGGATGGCGAACAATGAACTCTGCATGATCAAGTGTGAGGTGATCGGTGGAGAAAAATGATAGGAGACATATATTAGTGAAAGTATCACATAACTGCTAGAGCGTCAGATCCAGCTGGTACCTCAGGATCGGCAGGTACACGGGAAATCCGTGGGCGAGTCGCGTCGGGCACTCTCCATGCCGAAGAACTTCTCCACCAACCGAGGGATCCGATGTGCAGGACGATCCGCCATAGAAGTGCGATAATGGTTTCACCACGGATCTGCTTCGTCGCATTCAACAAGTGCCTCAATCAAGTTGGCAGGATCCCGCCTGTGGTGGTTGGTCAGCGTGCTGTGTTGGGTCCATAAATGCGGATCCGTGTTTCAGTTGCAGCGGACGGAATAAATCTATAATTGTATATAGGCAAGATAAACATGCGTCAAATATTGGACACATTCGAGCACATTGAAATCATAGAGCTCAACGCACTATTTAAATACAAAGGCTGGGCACAAAAGTGTCACTATTTAGGATACGGCCTGATACCTTTCAGGTACTACTAACTAAAGTTAACGTACACTGTTTTCTCTTTCGTTATTTGAAAAAGGGTTGAAGAGGTGATTGCCATATTGTACAGTGTGCTTTGTTTTTGTTGCGGTTATGTCAACTTCTCGTGTTGGTTGCGTCGTATACACTCGGAAGACCCAAGATCATAACCTAGACGATATGTTAGCTACCGGAAAATACAAAAATACATGGTTCTTCCAAGATATTCATCCAGACCGGATGGGGTTACGTAGGGTGCACGACGGTTTGGCCTGACGAGGTGAATATCGGGCGGAGTTTGTACGTGATCCAGCTCTGTTGGCAGGCAGGATGTAGTGGTATTGTACCATCGGGTACTGGAGGTAGAGAGGGGATCGTATGTTGAAGTGAGGGGCTAAACAATTGTGAGGATGGCGACGTGCTGAACGGCGAAGAGTAGAAATAGATGAACGGGCCCGGGCGACGTCGGGAAAAACAATGTGAGGCTGATGACGACATCAAAGTGAAGAGGGAGATGGCCAAGTCGTAATATAGGAGGAGGAGAACGTGCGTGCTGTTCGGATGCTCGTCCGTCAGTCAAGCTTAAGCAAAAAGATAGATAAGTTTAGTCTAACAAGCATCGTATTGAGCGGGCACGGGTTTCCTTATCATAATGTATTGGAATGGAAGGTGCAAACGAGGTTGCTGAGTATCCAGAGGAGGAGAAAGACGGCAAGTTAGTAGAGCAGACGCACAACAGAGAGGGACCGCGGGGTGTGGTGCCTATTGAAAGCGCCGCGACCGTTATGTCCGAGGGACGATTAACCCGCCTGCGCGAAGTGATTCGAGACGGTCAGCCCACAGAGGGCTTGGTACACTTTGAATAGGAAGGATTTGCCTTGTCCCGGGCCATTGCTGTCTATATTTCTCCTCCTCGGAGTTTTTATCCCGACACCTTACGGGGTGAATAACAAGTACCACTGATGTCCAACCTTGCAGTTGGATAATGACAGATTGCTCTCTAGATGTCCAGACAATCATATTTCCCACCGATATGGTTAAGCAAGGTTATCAGCCATGGTGTTGACTATAGTTATGCGATCATTTACAGTGGAAACCTGGGCATGTCCCAAGGAAAATGTACGAGCACCGCTACCGTTGTATAATCTTCGCAGCCTCGGGGTGAGAGGGTTGGATGAGAGGTATTAACGGTGCATTTATATTGACATTAGTAGGAACAGAGATGACTACGGTTACTACAAGTGATGGACGCGCGGAATGTAGTGCTGCTTTGCAGGTGTGAAAGGGATTACGCATGTGCTGGTGTTGATGGTGGATACGGACGATGGCGGATTCCTGATGCTGGAATGGAATGGACGGACGCCGTTCGAATCCATGATCTAATGCAAGCTTGAACGACTCGAAAGCGAGAGTACAATATACAATGTAGGAGTGGCGACATTGGAAGGGGCACCAGGTCAAATGGAAGAGGCAACAGGTGCTGGGATGACGGAGGAGACGCTAGAGGTGCCGCGGTGGTTTTGGAAACGACCCACCTGTGGTATTCCGGCAGGACCCGTGCCAATACCAACGCCAACGCCGATAATAATGCGAACAAAAATTAGGCGCAGCTTCAACTACGACACAGATCCTGTCGCTTTAGAAGCCAATGTTTTTAAACTTAACAAGTTTTAGGACTGGTCGCCAGTACGTTGTTATGAAGTTCGTGCTGAGATACCCAGATAGGCAGGTACGTCGGACGTTGTCTAGCACAAAAATCTGCTCTATCACCAGGTTACAGTACTTCGGGTTGGCGAAGCACTATCGTGGGTCTTCAACTGCGATAGAGACAGTACTACCAGATTATTAACGCGGTTGTGGAGATGCCGCAGGCAAAATACGTGATCAGCACCCAGATCCCCAGCGTGTGATCTGACTGTATCAGTGAAGGCAGATGAAAGGGTTAGAGTAGTGGAAGACCATTCCACCACGGTTTCAGTTGGTACCAGTACAAACCGGTCTGAACATTTCCTGACGCCGATCATCCGACAACGCGCTTTATGCGTCGGCTGGGTGCCCACTCAGACAAGACATTGCATTACGATGGTTTTGTCGTCACAACGGTACTTCGGTCAGGACGGACCTATCCCGCGTATGCGACTCAAGAAGATCAACTACGATGCATCGAAGAGAACCGGAGGCCGCGAGCGCGGCCGACGTCGTTCGGACCACGTGTAGGCGGCGGTTACCGCTTTTGGTGTAGTCATGTCGCCGACTGCACCGTGCAATGTAGGATCTGGTGACGGCAAGTTCAGGACGACGCGGCGACGGGATCTAAATCGGCAAACATACAACGAGTATATGTACCCCTGACGTATCACTCAGTCGTCCTGGGCGGGTGAAATTGATGTTAGAACGGGGTTTAGTTGCTGAACGGCAGACAACAACGCTTATGGGTCAGCATCGAGGGAGGAGAGGGAATGGGGGCGTCGTAAACGACTCAAGATGCCGATTACGGTGAGATGGAGTTGCCAGACGCGACGAAAGGTGATAAAGACAGGGGACGGTGACGTGTAGCCAGGTCACTCGCCAGTGCCTGGAGGTGACGCGGACGATACTACGCAACGACAACGAAATTTCTCCCCGTCTGTGGATGGAGCGCCAGGAAGC